AGATTAAAACAGATGTTTGCGGATAAAAGCAGATGTTTGCGGATAAAATCAGATGTTTGCGAATAAAATCATGTTTGCGGATAAAAGCAGATGTTTGCGGATAAAATCAGATGTTTGCGTATAAAATCAGATGTTTGCGTATAAAATCAGATGTTTGCGTATAAAAGCAGATGTTTGCGGATAAAAGCAGATGTTTTCGGATAAAATTAGATGTTTGCGGATAAAAACAGATGTTTGCGGATTAAATCAGATTTTCGCGGATAAAACCAGCTGTTTACGGATAAATGCAGATGTTTGCGGATAACATCAGATGTTTGCAGATAAAATCAGATGTTTGCGGATAAAAGCAGATATTTGCAGATTAAAATAGATGTTTGCGGATAAAAGCAGATGTTTGGAGATTAAAACATATGTTTGCGGATAAAAGCAGATGTTTGCGGATAAAAGCAGATGTTTGCAGGTGAAATCTTATGAATCAGACTTTTGCGGACTAAATGAGATGTTTGCGGATTAAAACAGATGTTTGTGGATTAAAACAGATGTTTGTGGATAAAATCAGATGTTTGCGGATAAAAGCAGATGTTTGCGGATAAAATCAGATGTTTGCGTATAAAATCAGATGTTTGCGGATAAAAGCAGATGTTTGGAGATTAAAACAGATGTTTGCGGATAAAAGCAGATGTTTGCGGATAAAATCAGATGTTTGCGAATAAAATCATGTTTGCGGATAAAAGCAGATGTTTGCGGATAAAATCAGATGTTTGCGTATAAAATCAGATGTTTGCGTATAAAATCAGATGTTTGCGTATAAAAGCAGATGTTTGCGGATAAAAGCAGATGTTTTCGGATAAAATTAGATGTTTGCGGATAAAAACAGATGTTTGCGGATTAAATCAGATTTTCGCGGATAAAACCAGCTGTTTACGGATAAATGCAGATGTTTGCGGATAACATCAGATGTTTGCAGATAAAATCAGATGTTTGCGGATAAAAGCAGATATTTGCAGATTAAAATAGATGTTTGCGGATAAAAGCAGATGTTTGGAGATTAAAACATATGTTTGCGGATAAAAGCAGATGTTTGCGGATAAAAGCAGATGTTTGCAGGTGAAATCTTATGAATCAGACTTTTGCGGACTAAATGAGATGTTTGCGGATTAAAACAGATGTTTTTGGATTAAAATAGATGTTCGCGGATGAAAGTAGATATTCACGTACAAAAGCAGATGTTTGCAGGTGAAATCGGATAAAGCAGACGTTTGCGGATTAAAGTAGATGTTTGCGGATAAAATCAGATAAAACCGGGTGAATGCAGATATAAACTTAAATACAGGTATTTGCGGATGAAAACAGATAAAAGCAGACATAGATCTAAATAGATAAAACCCGACGTTCGCGGATAATATTTATACCCGCAATTGCAGATAAAAACCGACATGTCGGATAAAAACAGATATAAATGGACATAAAACTAGCTTGGTTTTTTATCCGCAATCATCCGATATTACCCGTCTTTTTCAGCAGGGGTTTCTTATATGTTCATTTTCCAAAAAATTCAAATACATATGCCAATTGAGATGACCATTCAAGAAATGTGGACCTACCACATATCCTCCAACAATTCCTCCCCAGACATTCAAAGACCATCGATGCTGATGATCAACTTGTTTTATAAATCTGATATACAATGTATCAAAAATAAATTAAATAAACTAAAAATATGTATGGAAACAGAAAAGTTAGATGTTTTAACCATAACAGAACACTGGATTACTGAAAACGATTATATATTAGACAAAATTGTATTCCAAAACTACCTAGTGGCCGATACTTATTGTAGAAAATATCATATACATGGTGGTTCCATGATATTATGAAAAAATAGTATACAATTTTCAGTTCTTAAAGAGGCAAAACCACTATCTGAGGATCTAAATATTGAAATGGCCGCAATACTACTAGAAAAAAATAATACCGCCATAGTATCCATATATAGATCGCCATCCGGAGATTTTAATCATTTTATTAACCAATTAAATGAAATATTAAGTTTGTTAAGTCAGAATAATAAAATACACAAAATTACATCCAATGAAAAAGAACTATAGTTTTCATATTATAGCTAATAAATAGGTTGGTTAGTATACTAACCAACCTATTTATTAGCTATAATATGAAATACATAACAAAGGATCCAAGTAGAGTAACAATACGTACTGCCACATGTATTGATAATATCTTCTGCAATTTTAAAATACAGAAATCACAAATAAAAACAAAAAACCTACATCTTGGAGATCACTACGCACAAATTTTGGTACTAGAAACTGAAAGCAAGTTTATCAATGAAATATATTTTGATAGAAAATTAACAAATGAAACTACTTACCTTATAAAACAAAAAATTATCGAAATTGATTGGAGAACAGGGCCGGCGTTAGCTTATTAGAGGCCAGGTGCAAAAGAAAAATGCGGGTCTTGAACTAAAAATTTACTCTTGAAATTAACATAGCGCTTAGCGGCAATAAACCAATAAAACATCAAACGAAAAACCAATTGAAGGGATTAGAGCTGAAACCGCCCAAGTGCAAGTCAACATTTTTTAAGCGTGTTACCGGATTGTAGAAAATTTTGACTTAAAAATGCACTTGGGTGGTTCAGCTTTTCCCTTCAATTATAAAATCAGATGTTTGATATATATTTTATAAAAGCAGATGTTTGCCGATAAAAGCAGATGTTTGCAGATTAAAATAGATGTTTGCGGACAAAATCAGATGTTTGCGGATAAAAGCAGATGTTTCCGAATAAAATCAGATGTTTGCGTATAAAATCAGATGTTTGCGGATAAAAGCAGATGTTTGGAGATTAAAACAGATGTTTGGGGATAAAAGCAGATGTTTGCGGATAAAATCAGATGTTTGCGAATAAAATCAGTTGTTTGTGGATAAAATCAGATGTTTGCGGATAAAAGCAGATGTTTGCAGATAAAATCAGATGTTTGCGGATAAAGGCAGATGTTTGCGGTTGTGCACTAACTGGATGAAATCAGGCGTTCTCAGATAAAAGCATGTTTACGGGTGAAACCGTATGAAAGCAGATGTTCGCGGATAAAATGAGATGTTTGCGGATAAAAGCAGATGTTTGCGGATAAAATCAGATGTTCGCGGATAAAATGAGATGATTTCGGATAAAACCAGATGTTCGCGGATAAAATGAGATGTTTGCGGATAAAATCAAATGTTTGGGGATGAAAGCAGATGTTTGCGGATAAAAGCAGATGTTCGCGGATAAAATAAGATGTTTGCGGATAAAAGCAGATGTTCGCGAATGATTGCAGATGTTCGCGGATAAAATGAGATGTTCGCGGATGAAAGCAGATGTTCGCGGGTGATTGCAGATGTTTACGGGGGTGCACTAACCGGATGAAATCAGGCGTTCGCAGATAAAAGCATGTTTGCGGGTGAAACCGTATGAAAACAGATGTTTGCGGATAAAACCAGACGTTTGCGGATGAAAGCAGATGTTCGCGGATAAAAGCAGTTGTTCGCAGGTGACTGCAGATGTTCGCGGATGAAAGCAGATGTTTGCGGATAAAAGCAGATGTTGGCGGATAAAATCAGATGTTCGCGGATGAAAGCAGATGTTCGCGGATGATTGCAGATGTTCGCGGGTAAAAGCATATGCTCGCGGATAAAACCAGACGTTTGCAGATGATTCCGGACAAATTCAGATATAAACGAAACACAGTGAAGACGGTTAAAAACAGATGATTGCAGATGATTGCGGGGGTGCACTAACCGGACATAAAACACAACCAACCGGGTGATCGCGTATATAGCGATGCGGACAAAAGCAGATGTTATCAGATATTTTTACCCGCTTTTATCCGGCTTCGACGAAGAATTTATACCCGCAATCATCTTCTTTTATCCGGTTTGACGAAGAATTTATATCCGTCATTTTCAGCAGGGTTGAGTAGTTTTGTATATTAGGTTTTCATGACTTTGTTTTTGTTTTTATTATTATTTTTAGTTTATGTTTAATTAGGTAATTAGGTAGTTGATAGTCCTGTAATTGGAATTTCTCTGTTGGGCAATAAACAATATTATTATTATTATTATGTCATCAGTTTTTGAAATCCAAACTTTAAATTTGATGTTTTGAGGATCTGCTTAATGAAAGAGTGTGAAATATAAGCGACTTAATCAAATAATTATTTGGCCCAGGAGACACAAAGTCGGGGGCCTGTCGTAAATATACGGTCGAATTATTTTTTCTTCCCTATTTCATTAAATAAAACTAAATAACTAAGTTTTACATTCATCCTCTAAGGGGCTAGTGCAACGTGATATCACTATGATGAAGCATGTATATCACGCGTGAAAAAAATCATGCCTGATATCATCATGAGTTAACCAGGAAATCCCGATTGTTGTGCAAATTATAAAAGTGACTAAAAAGTTTTTGTTTTTTTTATTCAAAAGTATATATATATATAATAAACAATATAACAATATTAAAAAAAATTCGCAAAATATTTTCATTGATTGTCCATACAAGTATGCATCTAATACGAAAACAAAATGCATTTTTAAGTGTTTTTAACTAAATTTTGGAATTACTTGTACAAAAACGGCCTAATTTTATCCAAGCTTTATTTATTCCAAATATAGAAATAAATAATAAGCTGAGGTTACAAAGCACCAAAATAATTCCTAAAATGATCATTAGGTGCTTCCTTTTTTGATCACAACCGCATATTAATTCCAATAATGCATTATTGACAGAGTATTTTATTTTGATATATGGATGTTTAACATGACAAGATAGCTTGGTAGCCAATGGTTATAGACTCAAGTGCGCAAATCAAAGTTATTGGATTTAAAAGCATGATTAAACATTGGCAAGCCCTTTTTCATCTTTAATATATTAAGTAAATGGATTTAAAGAATTTAAGGATAGTTAAAATTGTGTCAAGGTCTTGCTTACAAAAAGATTGTTTCATATTTTTAAGAATGTTTAATAATTATTCTTATCATCATACAAATATATAAATAAAAACAGGATGTATTCTACACACTGGTAAAAACAAATTTAAAATTCCATGTTAATTAGTTAAATACATTTTAACATTAAATGTACATTTCATCTATCTTAATTACAAAAACTAGGTTTACAGTAATATTTTATAGCGCCATATTTCTTCCTTCTATAGAGATTTCAACTGCTCTTCTAGTCTGCTTCAAACGCTTTCCATCCAAGAAATTCTTATAATGTTTTTCAAATCTATTCAAACCTTTCTTGGTTTGCTAAAAAAAGGGTTTCGTTACAAGAAGAAAATTAATATTATCAGTTTACTTACTTGACTTATATCTACTTCTGATTGCCATTTCGGTCTAACTAAATAGTCTTTATTGGATGGAATTGGTACTCTAGCTCTGGCAACCCAACCTTTATCTCCTGGCCTCAATGGTCTAAACAGATACACATGTCAATTTACCTTATATTTAAATAGTTACCAACTTTTTGCTTAGCACAGCAGAGGACAAGTCCGCTTTTGTTTCTACATTACTCAAATGTATATTAATAAGTACTTACTTTCCATCTGCATTTAAAGCTTTATTAAGTTCCTTATTTTCTTGATTTCTACTACTGCTACTACTTCCCCCATCATCTCTTCTTCTCTTGGGCGCTTGCATCTCCAAATCTCTTTGCACTCTTTCTTCTCTACTAAGAGCTGCAAAAAAAAATTAAATACTCAATATTCATTTTGCCACAGGGTGGCCAACAACTTTTCTTGGGTAAAATTACCATTTTATGCAATATTTTTTTTTAAATATTTATTGTTTAAGGATCAGATCAGATCCTAAGCTTTCTGAGCCCAAATATAAGATTGAAACATAATAGTGACATTTTAAAGAAAATTTTTATTTTATTAAATTTCTCGGAATACAAGATTTTAATGGTATTTTAACAAGTAAATAACTACCTTTTGAAAAATGATTGTTTAAAAAATGTTAATTTTTTTGTTAAAATCGGTCCTGAGACCAACTGTGGAAACTCTTAATACAACAAAAGTTATTTTGAAAAATGTGTGTACCAACAACAGAATTGCCCATATATGCCCATTTGAATGTTTGCATAAAAATACTTTTTTTTGCACAATATTGCAAATCCAAGAGCATATTAAGCAATATAATGGTGATTTTTTTAATCACTTTACTCAAATTACCCAAAAAAAAATCATTTTGTCAACCAGTGTTACAAATGGTATTTCAGCTTTTTGTAAAGTCAAGGAATTTTAGACAATTTTAGAAAAATGGTTAATAGTGATCTTTTGTTAAAGCATAAAACGTACCTTTGAAGTCAGTGGATAGATTGAAGATGGGTCTTGCCCATTCACTAATAAGTCTTCCAGCTTTTTCCTTGTTCTCCTTAGTCTCTTTAGGATGCTTATACAAATACATCACAGCCTTGCCAATACCAGATTGTTTTAAAGTGGAATGATCCACTCTAGGAAATTCCGTTAGCAGCAGTAAAACTTGCTGCCTTACTTGCAAAGAAGGCATGGATCTGTCAGGCATGGGCGCTAACCAATCAGTCAGTACGTTTAAAACGTTGTGTTCAATGAAGGCTAATTGAAGATCGTGCTTCTTTAGCTGCGACATAACTTTCTTCAGCATCGACATCTTTTTGGTTGCCGGTTTTTTCTGCGAGTTCAGTCTTCTGTCTTCTTCGGCCGCGTTTCGCATGTCGGATAGCAGTCCGGCAATAATATCGTCATTATCGTTTATTATGTCTATGTCTTTACGTTTACGCCTTTTAGATTGTTCTTCGCGTTTTCTGGCCAACATGGTGTCGAAATCGGACATACCTGAATCCATGTTGTCACTAAAATAATATAAATCAAGATGAGATATCCTAAAAAAAATTGCTTATATGTTGCTTACACATTTTCAGCTGTAATTCCATCATCGGAATCATCGGACGCATCTGCAGTTACAGGATTCACTTCCACTGCTGGTTCACCATCAGGAGCAGTGGATGGACCTCCTTCTTCATCTTCATCTCTGATAATTTTTTTTGAAGCACTTTGTCCTTCATCTTCAGAATCCGATAAAAGTCGACGTTTTCTTCCAACACCAACTAAAAATTTTGAGATTTTTATACAATGGTAATATGAAATGATTTTAAGAAAAATTTGTTACATCAAATGCCTTTTTTTATTAGAAATATGGTTTCCAGTTTCGGGATCCCGATATTAAGATTATTGGAAAAAATACAAAATAAAGATGAATAGCTGATATTTCTTTGTTACTTTACTAAACGTGTATTTATCTATCCTAGTATAATAGAGATAATCCTTGCATTAGATAGCTCGCGTTTATTCAGGAATCCTATAGGCTATATTTTTGACTTTTTTGACAGAAGGCGATGTATACAAAAAAGTGTTTTGTTTTGTTAGGAAATCCTATCGCATTTTCACTGACATCCCAAAGCGGCCGCCTGCTGTTCGGATGCTACCGCGGGTGGGCGAGTTGAATCGGAGGCCGGTTAGCCGCACGCCAAGAACCGAACATTTCCGAGAAGGGGCGAACTGTGAATAATAATATTATTGCCTTTATTATTAAAAAATGCTCTGGTCAGCGAGGTACCATGCCGTACGGCTGCCATCTGGTTGGCTCCTTACACAACAATTGGACGGCTTTCTGCAGAATAGGACCAACCCACACCATGATGAAACTGAGAAAAAAGCTATCAAAGATTTTAATAATTTTAAAATTACCTGTTAATTTTATGCCGATTTTGGACTTACGGAGGTTTAAGGGATATAATTTAATAATTTCATCAGGTGGATTTTGTGATGTTATGTGTAAGGGTGACGAAAAAAATGGGCTTTTGTTGGTTGGTTCCTTTCTGCAATTTATGAAAACTACTATCTGATGTATGTATGTATTTAAAGAAAAGCGACAATTATTTATTTCCAAACAAAATACAACTGATATTACTATTATAATGGTAATATGAATTAATTTTGATTCTATTTGAAATTCGTTCACATCATCTTCCAACCCCACCTCATCTTGTAAGCTACCAAAAAAATGCATCAAGACTTTATATTTTGCAGAAGCAGGAAATCTTTAAAGACTTTGGTAGTGGGTCTCAGTGTTGCCAACATCTTCGAACATTTTATCGGTAGATTCTTTGGAAATTTTCGGTAGATGATGATAAAATTTCGGTAGATTTTAATATAGGTATGTGTAATTTTTAGTTAAAAAAACACAGGTAATAGAAATATTTAATAAAAATAAAATATCTAATAAAAACAATATCATATTTAACTTATGTTAACATTAGTTGAATATTTATAAAAAGAAATGTAACAAAAAATAATAAAATTGTAAAAAATACAAATTCAAAAAATTAATAAAATACATAAATCAAGAGAACAAGCGGCGTTTGTCATACGCCGCTTACTTTTGCACTAAGTTGAATGTTCTGTACTTTACGAATCTACACAGCAAAAAGCAAGAATAGAAATCTGTTTATTGTATCATGAAAATTTGCGATACCGTCGTAGTGAGACTTTTGTACAAATGATGTTGGTAAAAACATTAAAAAATTAAAATTTTTTAATCACATACTAGTAAAAAATATATAATACTGTATAAGTATAATATTTTAATGCAATTTAATAAAAAAAAGTCATTTATTTGGATTATTGCAAGATTTAGATTTTCGGTAGAATGATGATGTCTATCGGTAGATCGGTAGAATTTTTCAGAAATCGGTAGATCTACCGAAAATTCGGTAGAGTTGGCAACACTGGTGGGTCTACCAGCCTGCTTTTTTTACAAAAAAGATCCAACCCACTTGCAGATACTGTACAGATTCTAATTTTGGATTAGTAATCCACACAATTATTGAATGTTGGTTGGTTCAATGATTAATAGATTTCACTACACTTGCATTTTGGCTATGACCTATTTTGCAGATAAATTATACATACTTAATTAGTTCATAGGCTAAATATCTCGATTTTTTTGGTTTTGTGGGTTGGTTCCTTTCTGCAGAAAGGCGTCCAATTATGCTTTTGCGAACTTATTTTTGGGGGTGTGTTTTTTGTTAATGTAATTTAATAAGTAGGTAGGTACGTTGTTTTTTTTAATAAATATTTTTGGTTTATTTTAAAACACTACTTTTTAAATTGTAGGTTCATTTATTTGGATATTTCTGTGGAATTTTTTTCATTTAATTCAAAATGCTCCAAAAAAAATCTTAGGTTCCTTGGCAGTCTACTACACCAAAGCGACTGAGACTTTTGTTTAGCAATGAGACGGAAGATGAAAATATGAATAAGTTAATGTCAACGATTTAGGCCAGTAAAAGTGTAAGATTTTATATCGGAAACGCTATGTCGTAATTAAAGAAAAAAAACGCGAATGTACGCTGCATGATATTGCACTCGAGGCTCCCACGAAACAGAGAGCTCTAGCGGCTTCGAGCGTAGATTGTTCAGTCCCTCACTGGACCAATTTAATTAAGTTAAAAAGTTAATTTATAGAAATTTTTTAGAACCAAAACATTTTTCTAAAAAAACATTGCAAAAGGGTGAGAAGGGAAAAACCAATTACCATAAAGTTAGTTTTTTGCATTTATGCAACAACGCATTGGTGAGCAAAACAAGTTTTATAAAAAATGTTGCTCTAAAAGTTTTAGACCAAAACCTAAGTTATTAAAAAAAAAACTTAGAGTTTTTTTAAGATGGCGGATCACGGCGGCGCGGGGGTTGTTCGGATCAATCCGAAAACCAGAATATATATTATTTAATTAAATTTATGCTCTTTTGATTAAAAAAATAAAATTTCAACTGGTATAAAAGTATTGGGTTTGACTGGTCCATTGGTTGGGCAAACGGTACTGATTCCCACTGATTTGCAAATTAGTTTTAAAAGAATATAATTTCCTTGTAAGGTATTATTTGCAGTCACTATAAATAAAGCGCAGGGGCATAATGTTATGCATGTCGTAGTTGACTTAAGAGAAAACTGACTATAGATCATGTATTCATCAGATTGCGGAGAAAATCAGTATACAGGATGCACCAAGTATTATTCTATGAATTTTCAAAATTTTCGTTGACGGAGCTTTAAAAAATGATACTACTGGTCTAATGGGGAGATTATCCTTATGTAATTTCATTAAAGAATACATTAATGGTGGGCTAGGGTTCATATTGTTAATTTGTATATGTTTTAGTCTGTAAAAATACTTTTTGCATTTTTTTATTGTTTGTCTTATTTCGTCATTAAATTTTTTTGACGGGTCTTTGATTAGTATAGAATATTTGTCTAACGTAAGAAAATTATGAGGTTTTTTTTCAAATATTCTTGTTTATTAAATGCTATAACTGTATTACCTTTGTCTGCTCTAGTGAACATATCTTTACTTTTGGAACCATCTCACGTTTCACAGGTAGCTACGACGGATTCTAACGACAGAATCGAGAGGCCGGCCGCAAAAATTAAATATGAATGGGGAAGAAAATAGCGATGACGAGGTTTCCATCGCGGAAATTTACAGCCTCAATTGGAACTTACCAAGGCTCGATTGATAAAAGAAATGCAATTATTTATTAATGGAGGTAAACGTGGGTACAATCGACATTTTGCCTCCGAATTCTTGAAAACCATTCCTCCAACTAGTGTGAAGTCCAAAAGATTTGTTCGTTTATTTTAAATTATATTTTGTAAAACAGTTTAATATATATAATATATAATATTTATATATGTATGTTTGTTCCTTAATTTTAAATTGTGGGTGACAAACCTGTTGTGCCGAAAGTACCGGGATTGACACCCCAGTTCACACCCAAAAGTCCCATAATGTGACTTAAATATATATAATTAAGGTTATCTTATCGTATTTTTTTGTTTATAAAGGTCTTAGTTTAAAACACAAAAAATACATTTAATGTATTATTTTTAGAAAATAAGAATGAATAAAATTAAGATGAAATTAGACGCTTAAGACTGACAGAAAGATAGCTTTAATTATTTGTATCAGTCATAATAGATATACAGGGTGTCCACAAAGGGTAGGGGGTATTTGTAAGTTCAATAAAAATAAAACTACGAGTCAGAAAAAAATATTTTTTTTTTAATTTTTAGACAGTTTTGGAAAATTAAGTGCCAAAGATTTTGTTGTCCAAATGTTGACCCTCGCGCTGCTGGCATTCCTCTAACCGAAAACGGAAATTCACTATTGCGCCTCTACACATATCTCTGTAAACAGCGGCCATTTCAAATTTCGGATCTTGTGCAGGAAAATTCGTGGTCTGTTTTTATAAACTTTATCTTTAAGGTTTCCTCATAAAAATTCGTGGTCTGTTTTTATAAACTTTATCTTTAAGGTTTCCTCATAAAAAAATAATCAAATGGTGTAAGATCGGCGCTTCTCGGAAGCCAGTTAATAGTGCCACGTCGAGAGATCACTTTTTTCGAGATAATTTGATTGAAAACTTTAAGTGACTGATTTAAGGGGTGGCAAGGGGCCCCATCTTGTTGAAACTATGTTTCCACATTAAAACCTTCAAATTTCTGGTTGTGGAATCAAAAAGTTTCTTTAACGTCGCAATACCGTTCACTGCAGTGAACGGTTAACCTGTTTACCGTCGGTTTTCAAAAATGTAAGGCCCAATGATTCCTTCATCACTTGATTATTTTTACAAGGATACCTTAAAGAGAAAGTTTATGAAAATAGTCAACGAACTCTCCTGCAATTGAAGCACAACATATGAGTAGACGCGTGATAGTTAATTTCCGTTTTCGGTTAGAGGAATGCCAGCAGCGCGAAGGTCATCATTTGGACAACAAAATCTTTGGTACTTAATTTTCCAAAACTGTCTAAAAATTTAAAAAATATATATTTTTTTCTGACCTGTACTTTTATTTTTATTGAACTCTCAAATACACCCCTACCATTTGTGGACACCCTGTATATAATCCAAATTTAACGAAATTTATAATAAAAGATACCTTTTATAACAAAATTGCAAAAACACAAAACAAATATTCTTTTTATATTTAAAACTATTATTATTACAGTATTTACAACCGTTATTTAATAGACATCACATTGTTTTTTTTTACTAGTCGGTGCGCAACAACCGTTATTTAATAGACATCACATTGTTTTTTTTACTAGTCGGTGCGCGAATAGATTTTTTTTTTTACCTTGAAGACGTTCGCAAATGTAATATTGGAGTAAATGAACAAAGTAAATTGATCAAATTTGTCAATTTATTTTAATATCAATTTTAATTTGACATAACGCAAAAAAATATTATTCTTATTATTTCAATAAATTGGAAAAAAAAATGTTGCATGCACAGTGCACCTAATGCGAAAATTTGTTTTGTTATTTCGAATGATTTTTTGTCGCCTGACAAAAAAAGTCATTTATCTACGCCAGTGAGATAAGAACTTCTTATCCCACTCATTTTGAGTGAGATAAGAAGTTCATTAACGCACGCGTTTTTCTCTGTTTTTAACCAATCAAATAAAAAAGTCAAAATGTCAAAATAACCCTAAATTAAGTCTTAGACAAAAATAATTACCGTTTATTTTTTCATTTAGAGGCGTAGATAAAAATTTGTACAATATACGTGTGATAACGCTTTATTAACGTACTTTTGCGATGCGTACGTTAATAAAGCTCTTATCCCACTTATATCGTAAATAACTATTAATCACCAAAATTCAATTTCAAAAATGTTTGCTCACCAGTTACAAGTTATCTTTAACTTGCTTATCTACAGTTTTTATAACATACCTCCTACACAATAGTTTTTACACCAAATAAAAATTAGTACGTTTACATTTCGAAATTTGTTCATTGTTTTTCTTAAAATCACTTAAAAATAGGAATTAAATTATAAAAAATACATTTAATTGGTTTAATTTAGGTACTCACTTTCTGAACCGGACCTAGATCCTGATCTAGATCTCGCCGAACCTGATCTGGACCTTCTAGAACCGGATCTGGAACGCCTCGATCCGGACCTCGATCTTCTCGAGCCTGATCTCGATCTTCTCGAGCCTGATCTCGATCTTCTCGAGCCTGATCTCGATCTTCTCGAGCCTGATCGCGATCTTCTTGAGCCTGACCTCGACCTTCTCGAGCCTGATCTCGATCTTCTTGAGCCAGATCTCGATCTTCTAGAGCCGGACCTCGATCTTCTAGAACCGGACCTTGAACGTCTCGAACCTGAACGAGATCTTCTCGAACCGGATCTTGAACGCGCTGAACCTGATCTAGATCTTCTTGATCCTGATCGTGATCGTCTGGAACCTGATCTTGATCTTCTGGAACCTGATCTCGATCTCCTTGAACCAGATCTTGAACGAGCTGAACCGGATCTTGATCTTTTTGAACCTGATCTGGATCTCTTAGATCCTGATCTTGATCTTCTAGAACCGGAGCGCGATCTTTGAGAACCCGATCTAGATCGTCTGGAACCGGATCTTGATCTTCTAGAGCCTGATCGGCTTCTTTTAGAGCCAGATCTTGATCTTCGTGATCCAGATCTCGATCTTCTAGAACCTGATCTAGATCTGGAGCCTTTACGAGAGCCTGACGCTGCTCTTGCTTTAGAACCGGAGCGCGACCTGGAACCCTTGCGAGAACCTGATTTATTAGAATGAGCAGATCCAGATCTAGATCTTCTAGATCCTCCTGATTTTGTTCGATTAGATGCCCTTGAACCACTTCTGCTCTTTCTGGAACCTGATCTGGACCTTCTTGAACCTGACCTTGATCTGGATCTTGAGCCTTTGTGAGAACCAGAAGCTGCTCTGGCTTGAGATCCAGAACGCGACCTTGATCTCGATCTTGATACTTTTATAGAACCAGACTTTGAACGAGATCTTGAGCCCCTTTGTGATCCAGCTTTTTCTATTGGGGATCTTGATCTAGACCTAGATTTTGAACCTTTTCTTGAACCTAAAAAATTGCATCAAATTAATTAAAGATTTTTTTATGTGTTTAAAATATTTAAATATCTCATTGATAAACACAAAAAATTTTATACCAATAAAGTGACAAACTTGTACTCAATTTAATTTACTCTAAGCTAACATTTTCTATAAAAACCTAAAAAACAATCAGGGTTGGAAAAAGTAAAAAGAGTTAGCCTTTTTGAATTAATTTAAACTTTTTTAAATTAATGCACTTTTTCTAATTTAATATAATACCTATACAAAATATAAAGCTCGAAAATTGCAAATATTTCTGTTTGATTTGATTAAAATGTAGTTTAAAATAAATAAAATTTATTTATTTTAACTGTACATTTTAATCAAATCAAACAGAAATATTTGCAATTTTCGAGCTTTATATTTTGTATAGGTATTATATTAAATTAGAAAAAGTGCATTAATTTAAAAAAGTTTAAATTTATTTAATAATAATTTTGAGTCAATCCGAAACTCGTTGCTTGACCATCTTGGATTTTGCACAAATTTTATAGAAATCTTTATTAGGGTCCCAAAGAATAAAATCCACCCTTATTTGCATTTTCTACATTATTTTTTTAAAAAGTTTTGGAAATTTTAAAAATTTGTAAAGAAAAAATCTTCAGGATTTGAAAGAATTCTTATTAAAATATTTCTTGTGTATAAAACATTTTTTTTTAATGTAAAATAATTTTTTAGATATTTTTGCAAACAACAATTGTACAAGGATCAATCCATATGAATGAGACTTGTAACAAGCAACAGTTGCTCGACCATCTTGGATTTTGCTCAAATTTTAAAGAAATCTTTATTAGGGCTCCAAAGAATAAAATCCACCCTTATTTAATTTTGAGCAGGCGTTAAATCCGGTCTATTCAAATTAAAACTTTTTAAAACGTCCTTTTTATGCTTTAATAATTTTAGCTGTAAAATTTTTTCGTAAGTAATATCATAAGGGCATCTAATTTTTCCGAAAAGAATCGAAAAAACACGTTGCTAAGTAATATTTTAACAAAAAGCATGAGTGCTGGTGGCAACAAAAATCCGAGTCGAAGAGGAGGATTTTTGCACCTGCACGAATGCATTTTGTTAAAAAATATTACTTAGCATTGTGTTTTTTCGATTTTTTTCACAGGAAAAATTTGATCCCGAATGGTATTTGACAAGACTATTTCATGAGTAACAGTTAACAATTAAAATATAAATTGCAATTTTTGGTGACAACAGCTGTCAAGTTTTGCCGCGGGTCATCTATGGGGTAAACTCGAAAAAACTGCTGACAGGTGCTGTCACACAATTTTTTCACCTAGAAACCATTTGTAATTCAAAATTGCGCGTTTGTGATTGGTGGAAATTAAGACGAGGGAAATAGTCTATTAAAAATATTTTAAATTATAATATATTATATATATATATACATATATGTCATTTTAAAGCTAGAAGATAGTAGTTTTTATAAAAAAAAATATTAATTCACTCAATCAATATTTCTATATACTTACACAGTGCTGAAAAAACGTTTATTTTACTAATTTTTCGTGTTTTTTAAATGCTTCCCATGTCTGGGCTGTTTAATATAAACAGCGATTTTTTTTTTCTTTTAAAGCTCCTGTATAAGCTTCAAAAATGAAAATAACAAAACCAAACTACCAGGTATTTGAACATCAACTAATTATCCTGTAAATTTCATAATTCTATTTGGAAGTCAACATCCTCATAATATGATATATTATTTGATATATTATAATGGCCTAAATAATGCAATTTTCTAGAGTTTAAAAATTTCAAGCATTTTTTTTTTGGAAACCGTATGCCAAACGAGTCAATTGTAAGTTTCATATTAAACAGCCGAGACATGGGACGCATTTAAAAAACCCGAAATATTAGTAATACACGTTTTTTTAGCACCATGTAATTATTTAGAAATATTGATTGAGTGAATTTATATTTTTTTTATAAAAACTACTATTTTTAGCTTTAAAATGACATATTATAATTTATCTTAAAATTTAAAATATCTTTTATAGAAAAAAAATTACAGCATAAATATGACGTTTTTAAAAAGTTTTAATCGATTAGGCCGGATTTAACGCCTGCGAAAAATTAAATAAGGGTGGATTTTATTCTTTGGGGCCCTAATAAAGATTTCTATAAAATTTGAGCAAAATCCAAGATGGTCGAGCAATGAGTCTCATTCATAGGGATTGATCCTTGTACAATTGTTGTTTGCAAAAATATCTAAAAAATTATTTTACATTAAAAAAAATTTTATACACAACAAATATTTTAATAAGAATTCTTTCAAATTCTGAAGATTTTTTCTTTACAAATTTTTAAAATTTCCAAAACTTTTTACAAAAATAATGTAGAAAATGCAAAGCCCTCAGACTAAATATTTTTATAATTTTATACAGGGTGTCCCAGAACTCGCGCCACAGAGAAAAAGGGAACGCGCCGAAAGTAACGCGAAACACATATTTGAAAATTAAAATTGTCTAACGCAAAGGATAAGCGAGATAAGAATAAAAAACGATAGCCAATCCCAATAGATGGCCATAGGGAATTCTTTAAATTGCTAGGATACTTAGGTTGCATTGTTAATAATAAAAAATCTGTAAAATATTTGGTCGACTGGAATTTAATTCATTGTAAAACTGCTGTCAATCTTTACTCCTGTCATTAATATAATATTAGGTTATAAATTAAGTTATTATTGACAATGCTGTCAATATACTTTTGTCATTAAAATTGTATTAGGTAATAAATTAAGTTATTATAAATAATGTTTTCCTTGATGATTATACCGAAATGATAACTATTTATGGGGAGCGTGGGCGCAATAAAGCTAAATAAAGTACAACTGGTTTGATTTTTTACTTTAAAACATTAGCATTCTGAAGTATCAGTCATAGATTAATAACCTCATTTTTTGAAAGCTTTTGACAACTTAGTAAATACAGTTGGCCAAAGGATTTTTAAATGTTTTTAAGACAACAATGTTCTATCATCTCCTAGCAATTTTTAAAGCTCCTACGTTTAACCTAGGCGAGATCTCTCGGTATTGGCTGCCGCTTTTTTGCTCTCATTCGATTACACTATTACCTAGAAATTTTTTATTTTTAAATTTGGCATCTCTATTGCTACCCATTTCAAAATTAGATTAGAAAAATTAAATCAATAAATTAGAAAATTTTTTTAATCGAGTAATTTAATTTTAAAATTGTCCAAAAAATATCTCTTAGGTTATATTTAATTTTTATAGGTTTGTTTTAGGTAGGTACTTAAGGTACCCTTTAAGTAGGGTTTTTGATGGTAGTTTTTATCCCACAATTTTTTTAAAGTCTTACCTGAAATACTTCTGGATCTGGATCTTGAACCCCCCTTAACATTAGATGCTTTAGAATTGGCAGATCCTGACCTGGATCTAGGAGGTGAACCAGGGGGTGACCCAGGACTCTGAGGTCTGGATCCACTTCTGGATCTAGATCTTGATCCAGACTTACTAGCTGAACTAGGTGGTCTGGACCCACTTCTTGATCTGGACCTTGACTTTCGAGTACCATTTTCTTCAATATGTGGAGAATTTGATCTTGATTGTGACTTATTAGATTCCACTGATGGTGAACGAGATCTGATGGAATCTGAGTTTTTCGATTTATTTAATTCAGAACCTTCTATAATAAAAATATTTACAATTAGTTTAGGACAGATGCCCAGAATAGTATTTGGTCATTTATATCTATAAATGCAATTCTTGTTATGTAAATTTCATTGAAGATGTTGGCATAAAACAATAAAAACTTATAAAATAGACACATCAAGGCACATTTTTAGAAAGATACATTTTAAACTTATCTTACCTGTTTCAATCTCCATTTTGGAAAAAAGATGCCTTAAAACTTAATCCGATAATAGTTTTCCTGCACTTTTTACTTTGCTTTATAAAACAATATTTCCAAACCAATCTGAAATATTAAAAAATGGCAATATTTTCTCGTCACACGCACAACAGTGATTTTGTACCTAACTTCAAAGTTGACTTGGGGGAAACCAGTGGTTTCAAACCACTGGAAAATAAGAATTGCCAATATAAAATTAAATGTCATCGACTGTCACTAAACCTAACCTATCATTTTATCCGCACTGTTTTCATATTCATCTGCGTTTTAGTTGTATAATTTGTAAGTAGATAAGCGTTAAAGTGTATGTGTTATTTATGATTATATTTTTATCTGTATTATAAAGAGATACAAGGGCGAATGTATTTTTAGAAAAATGGTTGAAAATAAACCTGCAGAAGGTGCTGAGAAGCAAGATAGCAAAAAGGCAGCGAAAAAAGAGGCGAAAAAGGCTGAAAAAGCTGCCAAAAAGGCCGAACATAAGGGAACAAACTTGCAAAGTCAAGCCAGTAATGTTGAAGAAGGTAATAAATTCCAGATGTGTTAAATAGTATTTATTAAATAACTATATTTAGCTGATGTATCTGTTGGAAAATATGGTCAACTCCCACTTATCAGGTCCGATACCAAAGCAATTCAGAGAACATTTACATATGTTAAGGATTTGAATAAAACCATTGCTGGAAATGTAGTTTGGGTTAGAGCAAGGCTTCATGCAGTTAGAGCCAGGGGAAAGCAATGCTTTATTGTGTTAAGAGAGAAGGAATTTACTGTGCAAGTTTTGACCAATGTATCAGAAACTATTTCAAAACAGATGGTTAAATTTGCAAGCAAGTAAGTTTATTTTATTACTTGTTTTATTATTGCTAAACAAATTTTAATTATAAGTTGTTTTTGTTATGGTATCAATAATAACTTTAAAGCAGAGTTGAAAAAAGGCATGACCACCCAACCTAAGGGATCACTTATAAAGAATGTAACGCTTTTTAGGGGATTTTTTACCCCCACACACCTTGTCACAAATAGTCACATCAGCGCAAATCCCCACCCCCAATGTAACTTCACAACCAGACCCCTACCCTCCGTATTGTGTAATGTTTATTAAAAAACATAAGATATTTTGTCTAGAGCACTCAATTCTCTATTAAAATGTTTATTGGGCTAAACTTTATACAGCTCGGATTTAAATTCATTTGTAAGTGAGATACAAAATGTTTTTCATCAGACTAATCTAAAAATTGGAAAAATTGCAATATGGAGAATCTTACTCCTAATCGTAAGATGGGCTTCATTTGAGGTGCCGAGCAATACATTTTTTAATATCATAAGTCAAAAAAAAAGTATAGTAGGTTTTTTTAATCACTCTAAGCAACCTATATATAGATATATATATTGATAAAGGGTACATTGTCACCTCCAAAACGGAGACCCTTCATACGTTGTGACCTCATATATGACGCTGTGACCTCCAAATTCGGAGGTCACAGTGTTTAACCATATTTTTGACATTGGGGGAGTGTCAGTAATCAATCTGTGGAAAAATATTTCGGAGGTCACTTTGACCCCCCAGTCTCTTAAAAAGGAACTTTTAGTTCCACCATATATGAATTGGCGCTAGTGTCGCTTTTTAATCAGATTCAGCCACACCAAAGTTACCTCCGTCATGTATACGTACATTTGTTACCTCCAAAATTTGGCAACCTTGCAATATCTCGCGCAGTCATAGATGTTCAGACTTGATGATCTTTAATACTTCTTATATGTTATTTGTTACGCAGTTTCGCTTTTGTTCTAACATCTTAAGTGTAAAATAACGATTTAACCCTTAAATGCATCGCGTTGCAAATTTGCTACGCTCCGAGAACTCTTATAGTAGACATACTGTATTACTTGTATTGGCTTGAATGCATGGTGTAGCATATCTGCAACATAGTGAAGTATTTGGTTAAAAATTTTATTTGACCATAGATGGCGTTTGAATGACAGTTTTATTTAATTGTTTAGTGAACAGCTGTTCGTAGGACATGTTGTATTGTTGCCAAGAAATAATAATTAGTATTGACGCAATTTATGCCCAGATTTTAATAAAAAAATATTCTACTATATAAGAAAGGTATATACTTTTATGTAAATAATTATATTGATGAAAAAAACTGTTAGTCATTGTTCTTTTTCTGAAATACTGATTGTAGCATATCTGCAACAATATGCACTAAGGTCCTATATATTTTGTAGCATGAGTAGCAAAAAAGGTCTGACGGATGAGGAATTAGCAAAGATATTAGCGAACTTATCAGAAAGTGAGGATGGTCTGGACTTTTCAGACACTGATAGTGTGGCTGACCCTCCATATTTACCTAGTGACGACGAAGATGATGCAAGAACTGCCAGTCCAATAATTTTCGCAAATGAAGAGGATGAAATTGAAAGTGAAAGTGTCTTGGAATTTGATCAACCCTCCACTTCAACGGCTACGCAAGACACGTTACCCAAGTCCAAATCTCAAAAAGGAAAAGGTAAATCTAAACAGAAGAAAGAGAAAGTAAAATGGAACCATGTGGGTATCAAGCTAAATGAAGAACAACTTACCTTTCATGGATCTACAGACCTTCCTTCTGCTATTTTAAATTTGGAGACACCATACAGCTTCTTTAAGTACTTTTTCACTGACGAACTGTTTGATCAAATAGCATCAGAAACCAATTTATATGCTACTCAGAAAGACCCAAGCAAGCCAACAAATTTCACTGCCCGAGATATCGGAAATTTTATTGGGATTTGTTATTTTATGTCTTTAGTAAGTATGCCAAATACACGATCATACTGGAGTGACGATTTATGTTTTCCTCATGTTCAAAATACTATGCCAGTAAACACCTTTGAAAAAATTCGTCGTTACATACATTTCAATGATAACAATAAACATCTGCCAAGAGATCACGCAGATCATGATAGGTTGCACAAAATCCGTCCCATTATTGACCATCTAAATGAGAAATTTTCCAATGTCCCTTTGGAAGCCCATAGTTCAATCGATGAGCAGATGTGCTCCACCAAAGTTCGGCACTTCATGAAGCAGTATATGCCAAAAAAGCCACATAAATGGGGTTTCAAGTTATTCGTTCTTGCAGGTGTGTCAGGTTTTGCTTATCGATTTGAAATATATTCAGGACAAGAAAACTTACATCAAAGACCTGATGATGAACCGGATCTTGGTGCGTCAGCCAACGTTGTTGTACGCTTGTCAAGGATAATACCAGAAATGCAAAATTATAGGCTATATTTTGATAACTATTACACATCTTTATCGCTTGTAGCGTACCTTGCCAAACGGGGTATTTACACTCTGGGCACCATCAGACGAGATAGAATACCCAATTGTCCATTGCCAACTGATAAAAGCCTAAGTCATGCAACACGTGGTAAAAGTGATGAGTTTACAACCCTAGTTGATGGAGTAGAGGTGTCGGCATTGATATGGAAAGACAACAAATATGTTACCATGCTATCAACATTTGCTGGAACAATTCCAAAAACATATGTAAAACGTTTTGATAAGAAACAAAAAAAAAAGGTTGACATAGATTGCCCTTTTGTAATTCAAGAATATAACAAGCACATGGGTGGGGTGGACCTTATGGACAGCAACATTGGAAGATACAAAATCAGGAATAAAAGCAGAAAGTGGTATTTGCGTCTCTTCTACCATTTACTTGATGTGACAATGGTCAATGCATGGCTGTTATACAAACGAGCCTCCATTGGAAAGGATAATTTTAACACCAAACTCTTATCACAATCACAATTCAGAAGTGAAGTCGCGAACTGCTTGTGCAATGTTGGAGTTAACAAAAAACGTGGTAGATCAAGAATTGAACAAGAGATTCAAGAGAAGAAAGCTAGAGGTCCAGCTCAGCACACCCCTCCCCAAGACATACGCACTGATCAAGCAGGTCACTGGCCTTTACTTGTCGAAAAAAGGGTCAGATGCAAATTTCCCAAATGCAACGGGTTCACCAGCATCATTTGTGAAAAGTGTGGAGTGACGCTATGTTTTAACAAAAATAAAAATTGTTTTAGACTGTTCCATACATAAACATCTTTTTTTCATAAAGTTGCATATTTGCTACATATTGTTTTTTTTCAAAATAATTTTTTTTCTTTGATTTTGATTTTTTTAATTATTTTTCCTATGTTATATTAGCCATTTGAAAACGTTTTATGTATATTTTGTATAAAAATAAAATCATATGCATTTAAGGGTTAAGTTAAAAATATATCTTCCAGGACTTAATTAATAATCCAGAGAGTCGGTTTTCAATTCTTTTAGATTTAGACGATACTAGTAATGATGAAATCATTACCAAAAAAGATAAATAATTTAAACAAAAAAAGTACAAATTGATTTTATCACATAAAATGTCCCTTGTGGCCTTGAGTTTACGGTGAATTCACCGTTTATGAGCAGTGAATATACCGTCCATTTGTGACATTTGTGGACGGTAATTAAACGGTGAACTCACGCTGTTTTTGCGATAAATTCACGGTTAATTCACGGTGATTTCACGGTAAATTCACAGTGAACTCAAGTTTGCAAAATCACCGCAAATTCACTGTCAAAGTACCGTAAATTTATCGTGAATTCACCGTAAATTGACTGTGAAAACACCGCAAATTCACGGTAATCTCATCGTAAATTACTGTACAGTACTGTAATGTAAATAATAAATTATTTTAATTGTTTGTAAATAGTTGTTTACTTTTTAATAGATAGTAATTTTGTCGCTAATAGACGGTATTAATAATTAAATAAAAAATTAATAATAAATATTAAGATTTTTTTTTTTATAAACATTATTAAATAAATAATTTGCTTATACTTAAATATTGATGAAGCGCATTTATTTTACAAAAACTTAATTCACAAGTTCAACAGTAAAATTTAAAGGGTTTATAAATTTACCTGCCTACGACGACATTGAAAAGCCAAGTCCGTAGTGGTTCCATTTAAAAAAGGAGGGATAGTATAATCTCCCTTGCGGCCTTGAGGTCACGGTTTATTCACCGTGAATTCACTGTGAATTCACCGTGAATAAACCGTCTGTGAAAAGTGCGTGAATTCACCGTCTAACTATAGTACGGTATACCGTTTACAAATTTCAAAAACAGACGGTTTATTCACGGTGAATTCAGTGAATTCACGGTGAATTCAAAGTGAATAAACCGTGAACTCAAGGCCGCAAGGGGTGTTTAAACAATATTTTTTACTCACACAATCTTTTTTTACTTTTATTTGTTTAAAAATGTGTTATTATTTTTAGGCTGCACAAATATGGAAATCGGGTTAATAAAGGATAAATTCCTTAACCATATTAAAAAAATATTTATTCATCTAGCAAAGAAATTAAATCTTTTCTAGAACAAACGAAAATAAAAAGAAGTGTATCCCTTATTAAAGCCAAAGTCCAACACCTTAAGAAAAACGAAAAAAAAACATTAAATAGTTACCCTTATGATAATTATAATTACAATAATTATAATTATTATTCATAACTATTTTAATAGATAAAAATGTTTTTGTTTACTTATGTTTTTGAATTATTCCTATTTATTGTTTACTTAAATTTCTTTCTTATATTTTTATTAATATAATAATAAAAATATCAAAAATATTACAAATAAAAATATTAGAAATAAAGAAATAATTAAAAAAGTAAAATTGATAAAAATAATAAAAAAGTATACTAATAATTATATTCAAAATGATTGGGTATAATAATAAAAATTATAACAAAAAGATTAATTTTTTAAAATTATAAATAAAAATAATATTAATAAAACAATTAAAATAATACAATAAAACTAAATAAAAATAATGAAGATTGTAAAAGGAAAATAAATAATTGAAGTAGATACCTACGTAATAAAAATATTAACAAAAAAAAATAATTATAATAAAAATAGTAAAAATAACAAAAAAATTAGAAAAAATAAAAATAATACAAAAATACAATTGAAATATTAAAAATAATAATAATATCTAATAATAAATATTAAAATAACAAAACTTTTTGATAATAATAATATTAATAATTCTTTCAAAATTCAATCGGTTTGAAAAGTTTTTAAAAACCTACTTGCAAGCAAAACAGTACATCTACAATATGACCCATTTTTTACAACTCACCCCTGTAAAATCATTAATTATTGTGCGATTTTAACCGGATTTGTTTTAAGGTGTAGATCTTGATAAACTGTATATTTGGAGCAAAAAGCGCCATATTTGTACAAAATGCAAGGCCTACTATGTCAGTTTTTAAGAGTAATTTTTTAAGAATTCATATTAGCGATTTTTTTTAAACAAAATCTAAGCACGACACTGGATTCACCACCCCCTCAAAACGACCCTTTACTAAACTTTATTAAAAAATTTTAAGTAGAAAAATGCACAATAACTACAAAAATTTATTCCGTCGTTATCCATGAAAAAAACATTGAAATAAAATTAAACTTATAATAAGTATACAATGTTATACTATTAGTTTAATTTTATTTCAATGTTTTTTTCATGTATAACTTGACAAAATAAATTTTTGTAGTTATTATTATTTCTCTATATTTTTCTATTTACATTTTTAATATAATTTAGTATAAGGTCATTTTGAGGGGTGGTGAATTCAGTGCCGTGCTTAGATTTTGTTTAAAAAAATCGCTAATATGAATTCTTAAAAATTAACTCTTAAAAACTGACAGTAGGCCTTGTATTTAGTAAAAATATGGCGTTTTTGCTTTAAAAATACAGTTTATCAAGATTTTACCTTTAAAAAAAATCTGGTAAAAATCGCACGATAAATAAAGATTTTACAGGGGTTATGTAATAAAACATTTTTTTTGCCATTATACCTGCAAGACCTATCATATACCAAAACGTTCTTTTTTAAATCAAATAAATTATTTATTTCAAAGTACTCCATTTTTATTATTTTTAATATTTTGTCTTTTATAACAAAAATAATAATAATTATTAATATTACTAAATAATCTATGGCACATATACCATGAAGCAGTGGACAAAATAAATCTGATATATATCCCAGATACTAAAGATACGTTGCGACCTCCGAAAATCCGGCAACACTGTCGGAGGATACAAGGCTGTTTGTTTCTCCGAAATTATATATATATTCGGAGGTGACTTTGTATCTTGAGTATCGCCAGTTTGAGTAAAAAAATTGACATTAAAAAAAATTAAAAATTGCTTCCCCTCTTGTGGTGGCGTTAATATTTAAGGCTCCCCCCCGCAATATATGCAATCAAAATAAAAATCGTCCATTCCGCAGACCCGGAGGAGAGGTGGCCCTCTCAACTTAACGGAGGTCACAGCTGACCACTTATCTATATATATAGATATATATATATATATATAGCACTTTTTAGTATGCAAATTAGAACAGTAGTATTAAGAAAAGCCTTCAAATTGAATATTAATTAAAAATCAAAATTAAGATTTTTTTTGGAACCTGTATATGGGCACTTAAAAGTCCCAAGCAAAGAAAACCAAGCGAAATCATGTCGGCGTTGCCAAATATCGAAGGTCAAAGGTCGAAAAAAACTTTTTGTTGATTATCCAGTAAACTATAGGTTTTACCTTCATTTTGGTTATTATAAAATTTGTTTCTTATGTAAATCTGCATAAAAATGTTCTTAAACATAATTCACAAAGGACTCAGTTCTCAGGATATGAGGATGACAAAAATTGGAGCAAGGCGCAAGCATAAACTTTAGGTAAAATAATATATTTGCTTTATAAAATACTAACGTGTTTTATTTTATTAAAATTAAAATACAAATAAAGTTTTACTAAATAATATTTAGTAAATATAAATAGTAATTCTATTATGTTACCATTTGACTTGATTAATTAATAATAATTTTTTTATTCTTGTGGATAAAATCGGGTATTTTTTAATTTATGATCGGGAACACAATCTACTAATTAATATTAAAACCTCTAATAAATCAATTTTTAAGAATAGTATCACATTTCATATAAAAACGAGAAAGATATTCTATATAATATATTATATATTTTTTTAGTATTCCTAAGGAAAGTATTGTGGATATTGAAGCCAAAGTTGCAACAGTTGGATCTCCAATTGCCTCATGTACTCAACAAGACGTTGAATTAATTTCAACACAAATTTGGATTGTTTCTGCTTCTGCCAATCAGCTGCCATTGCAAATTGAGGATGCATCAAGGCCAGAAAAAGCTGATGTAATAAATAAATGTTAAATTATTGCACAATATTATAGGATACTGTTTTAGGACGAGGATGGTCTTAACATTAGAGTGAACCAAGATACAAGGCTGGACAATAGAGTTCTTGACCTCAGAACTCCAACTAATCAAGCCATATTTAGACTGGAAGCTGGAGTATGCCATCTATTTAGAGAAATCCTAACTAAGAAAGGCTTTGTTGAGATACATACCCCCAAAATTATTCCTGCTGCTTCCGAAGGGGGTGCCAATGTCTTTACTGTTAGTTACTTCAAGGGCTCTGCCTATTTGGCTCAAAGTCCACAGTTGTACAAGCAGATGGCCATTGCTGCCGATTTCGAAAAGGTGTTTACAGTGGGAGCAGTTTTTAGGGCTGAAGATTCAAACACGCACAGACATTTGACTGAGTTTGTTGGCTTGGATTTGGAGATGGCTTTCCGTTATCACTACCACGAGGTTATGATGACCATCGGCGATTTGTTTACCGAGATTTTCAAGGGACTTCGCGACCAGTAAGTATAGAATATTAATAATATTACTTAGGTATACAAACTCACGGAAATGTTCCCTTAATTATAAATTTATTCTCAGATTTTTTATTGGCTTATTTAGACCTATTTTTAATATGAAAAAAATAAACCACCCTACAAACCATGTCAACGTCGACTTGAACTTCGACATTTTAAAATGCCTACCTATAATGACGTTTATTTGCAATTATTAAGCTTTGTTGGTTATCCTCTTAACCCATTTATGATAAAGTTTCTTCCGCACCGAACAACTGCACAGCTTCACCTGTGTTTGCTGAATGCGTATGTCCACTTCAGTTTGTGCGGTACCCGTTTTTGGGTTGGAAGGGATATGCCAATGGGTTTTAGTGACCCTTCCCGGAATCGCTGTTGGGAACTAACGTTTTTTGTTGTTGATTAGACTGCTCATTCAAAGTACTGACTTCAAGGAAGATATTTAGCCAGTCGTTGTTTACTAAGCTGGACGGTGGACTAGTGGTTAGGGCTGCTGACTGCAAGCCGAGAGGTCGTGGGCTCGAATCCCACCTGTTTATTTGTGTTTCTCCTATTGTATATTAGTCCTTCGGAGGGGACTTGAAGCCCGCGGTCCGTTCCTTTGTATATATTCTCAAATTATTTACCCCACTGTGCGAAACCTTTATTTCAGCGCCGAAGTATTGCCGTCCATGTTGAGTTGTTCAAAAGCTGACTCCAAGGAAGATTCAGCCGCTCCTTTCCAGTACTGCCTTCATGAAAATTCAGCCCATTCAGCCGGTCGTTATTATACTAAGCTATTATACTAAAATATAAGAAATATATGTTATTTATACACACATTATTTTACCCCATTGTGCGAAGATCGTCAATGTGTTGATGAGCCTTTCAGTATATTTACCATGACTTTAATCTACTTGAGACCACTGTTTGTTTATTTTATCTATGTGTATAGTAACCCGCACAAGCCATTCAGTTGGCTTCTGGGACTTCTTAGGAAGTAAGGGTGGAGCACTTTTTATACTTACTTTCGCCTGCCTCGCTGCATTTTGTGTTCTATTCCCAATTCAATAAATGCACATACTATGTTTTGGTTGCATCCCCCTCCAGCACCCACTTGTGTTTTTTTTTTGCCGATTACCTAAGGTTTGCAGGTTTGCACAACCCCCAAAAAAATCACCCAAGAAGAAAGAAATAAATTTTGATTATAATAATATCATCGATATATATTTTTTTTATTTTCTTAGTAACTTTCTTGTTATAACACTATAGTTTCCAAGCAAATAATTAAATTTCCCGCTTGGCGCTTCGTATCGGTTCATTGATCGATGCCCGAATACCACGCCATCTAGTGTATAATTGTTGAGGCTAACTGGTGTGTTTTAAGGTCGCAAACCATTACAGGCTATCGAATGGGCGTGTTGGGACCACGTGATTAAATTACGTTCAATAGCATTGGTTTAATTAGATCGAAAGTGGTTGCAGGACAAATGCAACATTTAGTGTGAATCGTGTTACGTATTTTTGCCAGGCCGCGTTAACATTTCCGCTGCGTTTTTATTATTGTTTGTATGTATTTCTTATAATAATAATGATTAATTCAGTTGAAAGTTTATTAGAAAATCCGTTCGGTAGTCGGTCGATCGATATAAAGAGGCTTGGAAGACCTACTCCAAATTTAAACATCGTTCAATGTGTGTCCAGTAAAAGCCGGTCTTTTACTAGAAAATTTAATTTAGATATATATAATAAACAATATATTAACTTAAAACTCTAATAGTAATTAGAGTCATATTTTAAATTTAAATTTTATATTTTTATAATTTAAATTTTTATGACCCAATTTATTTTTTAAAGCGATCTTGGCTTTGCACATCTCTTGTAATATCTACACCTATATATGGGTGCAACCCCAGATTTTTTAGGTCACAAGCCGCCACTGGTTGTTAGACAATGCAAAACCGCTTTTCAGTAAAAAATGCGAATTCAATTTTGCGTTTGAAAGCACTTGTACTGTTTTTTCCTTTAAAAGCCGGCGCAAGCACTAATAAATTTAATAGGCACATTTGTCTTTTTCTTTGATTATTTTTTTAAATTGATTTATGGAAGCGCTCTTGTAAAATGCGTTCAGTCGATTTTTTGGAAATAAAAAAATTGCATTTCAGTTTTTGAGTGACGATAAAAATACTGTGCCGTAAAGTGACCGATTTCTAGTATCGACATTTTTTTCAACATTTGCGCCGATATGGTTTGTAGTGCAGTATTATACAGTAGTATAATAATTCGTTGTGGATGTGGAGCTAATTGTTTTGTCAAGGCAAGGCCGTCGCTCCGCTAAATGCACTGGACTATTCTGCCCTACAACGATAACGATAATTATTACTGAACTACCTGCCAAAAATGCACCATAGAAACCAATAAAGAATATGTATGGGTTTCTATTGGGTTCAATATGTGCATTTGTATGATATTTCCTTATACAAAAAACTGGACTTTCTGTTACCATATACCAATATAAAACCATTACATTTTTAGGAAATCTATAGAAACCATTGAAAAAAAATTAAATGGTTTGTATCGGACTGAATATGTGTATTGGTAACAGGTTTTATTGTAATCAATTGATACTAATCGATTTTAAGGCTAAATGGGAATTACCTAATCAAACCTGTTCGTTGCGTTGAGTATGTTGAGTATGTTGCGCGATTAAAAGATGGTTTAACAAAAAACAAAACTTTATTTTAACATGGTTGTGTATATGACTAAGTTTAAAATCTTAATGTTAAAATACTAAAATCTAGGTATAAAATACCAAAAAGGGGAGGGCGTTGCAGCCACTTGATGGCTAATATCTTCCAGATGTCATAGCAGAATTGATTCTCCCTTTTCTTGGTAATTGCTTTTACTTGTAAATATTATGCACTTGTTAAACAGATAATTTATAATATATGAGCCAAGCGTAAACATGCCCCCGGCCTTGGCAAGTATTGCCAAAAAAAAACAAACAAAAAACAAAGAAAAATACATTGATATGGCAATACCCTTTACATATAGATAATATCTAATAATATCATATTATGACAATGCAAATGAAGTAGCAGAATATCTCAATTGGTGCATTATAAATTCGGTAAATATATAAGTATAAGTAAAATATAATTTGTAAAAATGACTGCCTTTTAATTTTAAACATGCTATAATCGAACATATAAATTTTAAGCCTAACTACCTAATACTAACTTATATTATGTCTACATGAGTTCAATATTTTTAGTTTGTTCACTGCTTTTAACTATTCTCTACGTCGTCGTTTAAGGGCAACGGACATATTTTAGAAAAAGATCGTGTTACGACACCACTAGAAGTTTTAATTTTAAAAACACGTGCTACACCATCGCGACCACAAATCACTTCAATGATGCGACCAAGTTTCCACCTCATGGGTGGCAAATTGTCCTATTTGATTAAAACTAGGTGGCCTTCGTCAACCTTATCTCCTTTAGTAGATACCCATTTGGTTCTTTTCTGTAACTCGGAAATATACTCTTTGTTCCAGCGTTCCCACATATGTTGTGATAGCTGTTGTGTCAGCTGATAGCGTGTAAGTCGATTTATCGGGATGCTTGTGAATTGTTTTTCGCCTGTTGTGGTTGGACGACCAATAAGAAAATGCGCTGGTGTTAAAGCTGTGTAATCATTGGGATCGGCTGACAGCGGCGTCAATGGGCGCGAATTTATTATTGCCTCAATTTGGGCTAATAACGAATAAAATTCTTCATAAGTAAGGTGTGCATTTGATATAACTCTTTTGAGATGATGTTTAATTAATTTAACTCCTGCCTCCCAAAGACCACCAAAATGTGGCGAATAAGGAGGTGAGAATTTCCATTCTATCTCGTCTTTACACAATGAATTTACGATACTAGACTTATTTAATTTAAGAAATGAGCTAAGTTCTTTAAAATCCGCACTTGCAGAGACAAAATTCTTACCATTGTCCGAGAAAATTTGTCGGGGTTTTCCCCTACGTGACATAAATCGTTTTAGTGCTAACAAAAATGTTTCCTTGGATAAATCCGTAACAACTTCAATATGTACCGCCTTAGTACTAAAACAAACAAATATGCAGATGTAACCTTTGATTAGTTTACAACCGCGACCCTTTCGGTCTCGGAGTAAGTACGGACCTGCGTAGTCAACGCCGCTTACTACAAATGGTGGTCCGGGCAATAGTCGCTGTGCGGGTAAATTTCCCATAATGAGCTGTATACCTTTTGGTTTAGCTCGAAAACAAAACGTGCAATTATGAACTGTGCGGCGGGCTAGGTCCCTTCCCCCTATTGGCCAGTGACTTTCTCGAATATCTGCTAAGAGGTGTTGCGGCCCGGCATGAAATAATTTTTGATAATGAAAATAATGAAAAATAAGCCTTGTAAGCGGGTGATTAGATGCAATTATACTTGGATGTCGTTTTTCGTAAGAAAACTGAGAATTTTGCAAGCGACCCCCCACGCGAAGAAAACCTTCTGTGTCAACAAATGGAGATAAATTTTTTAATTTGCTTGAGTTTTTAACAGGGGAATTATTCGTTAATGGTTGTATTTCTTCGTAAAATGTTTTTACTTTAGGATTTGAATTAAGTTTTTTCTCTAAATTAAAATATCGATTTCGTGATAGATAGGAATTACCTAATTTTTCGGGGTGGTTATTAAAAGGAAGGGCTACTATAAATTTACCGGCGGATTCTCGTCGAGTAGTATTATGAAAATGCTGTTCGCAGGCAATCTCTTCTTTTGATAAAATTTGCCTTTCGGCAATTTCCTCTAATTCCCAAAATCGCGCTAACTGATTTTGAATTTGAGTTTCGGCAGATGAAGTTAAAAAATTGCACTTTACTTCGTTGCGCGCTGGAAATGGTACAAAGTACGGCCCTGCTACAACCCAACCGAATAATGTTTGGTGCATTATTGGTTTGTTTTTACCTAGACTAAAGGTGTTTTGACCCACAA